GAGATCCAAAGACACAAATTGCAGACATTTATGGAAATGGATTTATGCGATGAGATGTCGTGGGCTATGGAGGTGTCGGTGGGTTTGGGAGGGCCGGTAGTCTTCACGCACAACGATCTCATGCGTCGCAATATATTAGTCCGCAATACGTGTCATACAAATGCCGACGATTTGGATGTCTTTATAGTGGACTACGACTGGAGTTGTTATATGTTTAGGGGCGCAGACTTTGCCGACTATTTCATCGACTGGTGTCAACCGGAACTGGATTTCGGTGGCAATGACTTCCCGACCGATCAACAGATGTACGCCTTTATCGACGCCTACATCTCGGAAATGAGTGCACTTTCGGGCGATTCCTATACTAAACGTGTAGTGAATTCACGCGAAACACTGGTAAAGGAGGCAAAAGTGTTTGCTTTGGTCTCGTTGTGTAAAATTGTTTTTTGGTCCCTAAGCATAGGAATCGATGAAAACCCGGAGTATTTGGTGAATAATTTTTAAACTTTGAATTTACTTTTTGATTTTAGTTACGTTTAACTAATTTATTTGTTTTATTTCATAGCAAAAATCGGAGGCAAAGTATAAAGTGTACAAAAATCTTAAGAATCGTATACTTCATGATTATCCTGATATAATTAAAAATAAATAAGTTTCTAAACATTTTAATTGTTCATGTAAAGTTTGCAAATAAAAATTATTATAAACATTAACATTTCTAAACAAAATGACTTTTTCATAAGTATTTCAGAATTAATTATATGATTCAATGAATAAAGTATTTTGAAATGATATATTTTATAATAAACACTTGACGTATTTAAGCTTTTATTTATACAGTATAATGCGTGCATGTGTTCACAAGTAATTTCAAGTGGATTATATTATAATTAGAAATCTAATAAATCTGTACTTTCATAATAAAGCACATTAGCTTGATTAATAATAAGGTGATGTGGTTTAATGCAATTGGTTTACATGTACAGCAAGTAATGTTTGTACCGTATATTTACTATCATACAAATTAATCGTTATTTTTTAAAGTACTCGTCATACTTTATTATCAATTATATATTATCATTAATATTGATAATACAGATCAAAAGGTATATAATAAGAGAAATGTATTGTCTTTTATGAATTAATATTATTTAATTATTTACTGGAAATAAAACACACTACTAGTTTGTAATCTTAGTTAAAACATTAAACACCTGAAAAGTTTATTAGAAAATTTAATTCAATGGATAGCAATGTATCGGTTGAGGATCGGCTAAAAGTGTATGAATTATGTAAAACACATTTAGGCGGCCATTGGAGTGATGTTAGTGCCGATCAACTGGTCATCAAACCCACGATGTAAGTCTCACATAAACTATACTGGTTAATTTAATAATTCCCAAAAATAATTTAGGGGTGGTTTTGTGAATAAACTTTTTTGTTGTTATTTAACCAATGATGTCGAAACAACTCCTAAGAAACTATTAATCAGATATATGAGCGATGATATTATAGAAATATGGGGCATAACTCAGCAAACAGCTATCAGTATATTAATGTCAGAGATTAATATATCGCCCAAAATATACGGAATGTTTGAAAATGGGTTCATCAGTGAGTTTATTGATGTAAGAATTATATTTATTTATGACAAACAGAATATTGTGTTATAATTATTATATATTTCATATGAAGTGTCGTTATTTCAATGCTGACGACGACCTCAACCCTATTGCCGTCAAACTGTTGGCCCAAAAGGTGGCAAAAATGCACTCAAAATACATACCGATTGCCAGAAACGGCACACAAAAGACATTGAAAATAGTTTTCGAGGACTGGTTTGATAGCCAACGGATTGAGTCCTACAGACAGGGAGTCATACGGAAAGAGATAGAGAAACAAAAGTGTGAAACACTTATGGAAATGGATTTCGTGGCTGAGTTGGCGTGGGTTAGGAAAGCCGTCGTCCACCTCAACAGTCCGGAAGTGTTTTGCCACAACGACCTCAACCGCCGCAATATACTCGTCCGCAATGGAGATAATGACCACAATTTGGATGTCTTTATCATTGACTTTGATTGGAGTAGTTATATGTATAGGGGTTTAGATATCGGCGACTAT